GTGCTGGGGATTGAACCCAGGGCTTGTGCATACAAGGCAAGCACTCTACCGACTGAACTTTATCCCCAGCCCTCAGACCCATTTGTTTTTACATTGTTTGAAGAAATTCTGTTCTTTTGACACGTGTTACCTAACTTTTGTAAAATCCTTGTAAAGGATTATGTGGACTTTTACGCAAGTTTATTTAACAACTGTATTCATTGACTCAACAACTTATAATTTTATAATTTATAACTTATAATTTTAATGTATAAGTCTTATCATTTTTGAAAGATGAGGTTCCCCTTAAGACAGTAAGCCTTTCAATCTAGTCTAAGGATTGGGTTTTTTACTGACAAGGACACTAAGTGAATAGCACCTACAATGGAGCTATTGACACTTGACATCATAACCTGAAGAAATTATCAGCTTATTGTGGTTCAGATCTTTAATGTACTCTAAAAATATTATGCATTAAACAATGGAAGGAATGGTTTTGAGGTGAAATAATTGGATTATGAGAGCTGTAACCTCATCAGTGGATTAATCCATTTGATGGATTAATAATTTGAATAATAATAATAATAATAATAATAATAATAATAATTTGGACTACTGTATACTAACTATAGAGAGGTAGGGCATGACTGGGAGGAAGTAGGCCAGTGGGGGCATGGCTTCAACTCTACCTGTGGTTCCTTCCTCTCTCTATTTCTTGGCTGCCATGAGCTGAGCAGCTTTCCCCCACCCCCAAGTCTTTCCATCATGATATTCTGCCTCACCTCAGGCCCAGGGCAGTGAAGTTGGCTGATCATGGACTGAACCCTCTGAAACTGTGAGTCCGAAGTAAAATTTTCCTTCTCTAAGCTGCTCTTGTCAGGTCTTTTGATCACAGTGATGAAAAGCTGACTAACATGCAGCTGTAGGTACAAAGAAATGAACAGGGAAAAACCTCCATCACTGGAAGTTTAACCAGAGCCACTTTGGGATATTGTGGAAGACATCTAGAGGTATGACACTTCTTTTTTGGTATTAGAGCTTCAAGAGTCTTTGAAGTTTCTAGGTCTTGAATGTCTGGTGAAGGTTTTGGTTGGTTTGCTCCATATTTCAATAGTCATTTTAGATAATTCTGGTTTTGCAGGAGGTATTCCATTTTCTTTTTTTACTAGGTGAATCCCTGTGCTGTGCAGGATTTCATGGCCAGTGTGGTATATGTGAGACTGTAATGCCGTTCTGCTGGCAGAGGGACAGCTGCACTTGCACTGGAAGTTCTTTCCACAGTCCTTTGTGAGCCTTTTCAAGTCCCATTCAGTGCCATATGAATTGCTGTACTTATTCTATTTATGCTTCTTGGCATGCATTTTTATAAAGTGCTGTTTTAGGAGAGATAACTGAGAAAATAATCTGTAGGTCCCTCTAGAGCATACTTCAATTGGACAACAAAAGAATTTCCGTTCAGTTTTCAAATCTTATTGTTGGATTTACTATGCCATCTTGTAGACAGTGGCCATTGTCCAGGTGCATATTGAGCACTGGGCTCTTAGGCAGGACCTTCTCACAACCACACACAGTGCACAGTATGTTGGTCTGCACAAGAGAGCTGGCTCACCAATGGCTGGATCAGCTCCCAGGTGATAGGCAGCAGATTTATACCAGCTGTAGTGAAGCCAAGGGCCACAATCAGCTGCCTCTCAGCCAGAACCCATGGCGTCCTCACATACCCAAGGTGGATGTTTCTCCTCTTGGGGCTGGCCCTCAGATTGGCAGGGACACTGGCCAACAGAGCCTTGTCCTTGGCCCTGAAGCTGTCTCTGTGGCCATCATGGTTCTTCCATGGTGGTAGGTCCTGCCTATAGGGTCTTTATTCCATTCTGAGGTGGTTTTTGTGTATAGTATAAGGTTCTAATTTTGTTCTCTTGCATGTGGATACTAGTTTTCCTAACATCACTTTTTTGGCATTTTAATATTTATGTATTTATTATTAGGGCTTTGTGGTTACACATAATAGTTGGATTCATCCTGACAAACTCAGACATGCCCAACACCACTTATTGAAGAGACTATCTTGCCGTTCTCTATTCCTGGCACCTTTGCCAAAGATTTTGTGTGTGTGTGTGTGTGTGTGTGTGTGTGTGTGTGTGTAGCTCTCTATTATGTTCCATTCATCTATATGTCTGTTGTTAATGCCAGCGTCATTCTATTTTGATTACTGTAGCTTTGCAATACACTTTGAAATTAGGAAGTGTGATGATTTTAGCTTTTTTCCTTTTGCTCAAAACTCCATTAGATATTTGTAGACTTTTGTGGCTTCATATGAATTTGGGGGTTGTTTTGTACATTTCTAGAGAAAAACACCATTGGAATTTTGGTAGGGTTTGCACTGAATCTGTATATTGCTTTGGATAGTTTGAACATTTTACCAATTTAAGTTTTTCCAGTCCATGAACATGGACTCCATTTATTTGTGTCAGCTTCAGTTTCTTTCATTTGTGTTTTATAGTTTTTGGTGCATAAGTCTTAAACCTCCTAGTATTTTATTCCTTTTGATTTGATGCTTTAATAAATGGGATTATTTTCTTAATTTTCTTTTTAGACCGTTCATTGTCAGTGTAGAAATCCTAATTATTTTTGTATCATTTGACAAATATTTGACATATACATATATTTGTGTAATTCAAACATTTATCAAGCACAGAGTATTTTTTATCAATTACTCCAGAATTTTTCTTTGGTTCTTTTTAGTCAGTTCTTGTCCCAAGAACTTCAGAGACTACTCGTGTTTTAACTTTTTCTGCTATAGATATGTTTTGCTTCTTTTAGAATTTCACATAAATGAAATCACACAGTATATATGTATGTTTTTTCGTAAGGTATCTTTCACTCATAGCATTAGTCATCTTTTGTCTGTCAGTAATTTTATTTCTCTTTATTGTTGAGTAGCATCCATTATACATATAAACCATCGTTTGTCTTTTCATCTCTGGATGAATAACTCTCAAGTTTTTGGCTATTATGAATAGAGGTTCTATGAATATATTTATAAATTTTAAAATTTATTCTAATTAGTTATACATGACAGTAGAATACATTTTGACATATTATACATAAATGGAGTATAACTTCTCATTTTTCTGGTTGTACATGATAATATACATATAATCACATGTGCACATAAGGTAATAATGTCTTATTCTTTCTACTATCATTCCTACCCCTATACCCTCTCCTTTCCCTTTACTCCCATCTGTCTAATCCAAAGTACCTATATTTTCCCCCTGCCTTACTGTGAATTATTTATTATCTGCATATCAGAGAAAACATTTGTCCTTTGGTTCTTTGGGATTGGCTTATTTTGCTTAGCATAATATTTTCCAGTTCCATCCATTTACCGTCAAATGCCATAATTTTATTCTTCTTTAAGGCTGAATAATATTCTATTGTGTATATATATCACAGTTTCTTTATCCATTCATCTGTTGAAAGGTATCTAGGTTGGTTCCATAGTTTAGCTATTGTGAATTTAGCTACTATAAACTCTGATGTGGCTGTGTCATTGTAGTATGCTGATTTTGAGTCCTTTGGGCATAAATCTAGGAGTGGGATGACTGGGTCAAATGCTGGTTCCAGTCTATGCATATTTTTGTGTAAGTTTCTTCTCTGTATATGTCTTCATTTCTTTTGGGTAAATATCTAGGCTTGGGAGTTTTTAGTGGTAAGGTAGGTATATGTTTAATTAAAAAAAACCTGTCTGATCTTTTTTCAAAAATGGTTTTACCATTTTACATTCCTGCCAAAATTATATAAGAGATTAAGTAACTCTAATTTATTCTACCAATTGATATTTTCAGTCTTATCCCATCACTTGGTATTGTCAATACTTCAAATTTTAGACATTGTTGTGAATATATATTTAATATAGTTGGTATCTTAATTTTCTGTAAGACTTATTTATATTATGTAAATTAACAAATTATTTATTAATCAGTTTTGGGTATAAGTTTACAGTTTTGGCTATAAATTTTCCAGAAACAGATTTCCTGTATGTGTGTGTGTGTGTGTGTGTGTGTGTGTGTGATGTGTATATGTTTTCACAATTAGTGCGCCTGTGCATGTGTATATATGTTTTCACAATCAGTGAGCCTTTGACTTTAAGTTTTAAAAAATTAATTCTCAGTAAAAATAGAAACAATGTTGTTACACATATTATACATATTCAATTCACTCTGGGTAGTGTATAGTATAAAAAATATATGAGTGCTGGGACCTACTTTTTCCATTAAGAACATTACCTTATAGTATGTCAATGTCATATCATTGAAGGAGAAAGTTAGTGGAGTATTATACCAGAGTCTTGTATATTCCAAAAGGAAAATTGGCTATTAAATAACCAGTTGCCATTATTGAGTCTTGATTCTACCACACAAAATTTTTCAAATGATGTTTTTCATTCCTGGGACACTTGCATACCTAATTGTCAAGCTTAATTTATGATCCTTGTTATTTTCTAAGTATTTAATTGAGTTAGTGGTTATAGTTGACTCACAAACCCATAAAACCCTCCAGTGGTAAACTAATTAGCCACTGCACCTGCCCTCTGAATAATTAGCATTGTTGGTTTTTAACAATCGGCACTGAAGTTATTAAAAGTTACCTAAAGCAGTTGTCTAAAACAGAGGCTTCTTTAAAAGACTTTTTATTTTTTTAAATCATGATTCCATGGAGAAAACGCATTTCATAGGCCAACCCAGGACACCACACACATGTGTGCATCCTCATGCACACACACAGACACACACACACATACACACACCTCTCTATTTGACAGATGCTGATATTTTCTACTGTATTCTCCTGTGCTCTTTTTCACTTAAAAACATAGTGAGTGACCTGCTAAACAGGTTTTACTGCCCATGAGTAGGTTATGAATGACAATTAAAAAAAAACCCCACCAACTTAATAAAATGCATACACTCAATCAAAAATAAAGAATCAACAATAAAAGTTTCAAAACCAGAACTTACTTGTTTCCTTCACCATTATATACCCATCTCGTTGTGCCAATTCCTTCATAGCTTGAAGCCCAGTAATAAATACAGGCATTAATGTGCAGAATGAATAACAAGTACCCAGTTGTTCGAATGACTCTGTCAGAGACAATAAAGGCAAAGTAAGGATTCATATTGTTTCTGGAACGCAGCCTATTTTAACATTTTCTTTTCCTCCAAGTCTCCACTGAACCTCCTTGCTTTAGATTTGCCAACTGTTAACTCTCATTAGCACAGTAGAAAGTGATGATGCCATTGCATGTTTTTTTTTTTTTTTTTTAAACTGCAGTGTCTTGACAGGGACTGACAGAGTGTTAAAAAAAAAATGCAAATCAAAAACTCCCTCTCTTTTCACAGATGGTACAAGTCAACTCTGTGAAAGACATGCCTCCAGGGTCACCTCTCCATTTTGAGTCTCATAAAATACGCTAAGCTGATTTAACTGGAAATCCCTGAAAAGCTCATGGGACTTTATGCTACGATGAACTGTTGTGACTAGAAGTCTCTGAGCAAGTGAAGTTTAGAACAGCAAATGAGTGAAATTTAGATTAAGAATCAATTGTCCTGAGAGAAAGGAGGGTTGGCTTGCAAAAGAGCACATTTATTTGTCCTTGTTTTGACTGAAGTAGGTAATAAATCCTATTTTTTAGTTTAGCATTCTTCTAAACTATGATATGATATTCATTCTTTTATCTCACATGAAATATCCAAATATGTTGTAGAATACATATGTCACAGAGCCCAAACCTGAAATGATCCCCCCATCTTGAACAGGGTGGTCATATTTCTCTCAAAGGCCATTATAAATGTTGCATCATTGAGTTCTTTACTTTCCCCAAGTGTATGGATTATTCGTTACCTGTAGATATATGCTTTCTCCATTATAGACTCTAGGTGATGATTAAACTCAAAAAATGAAGTGTACTGTGTAGAAAACAGGCAAAAGAAATACAAAAATATATTAGTCTTTTACACAGCTATTTAGATAAAACTATGCAAAATAGATATTATTTATTACTGAAAATAACTTTATTTGTGTGTCTTTTTTGAAAAAATATAGACCCTGTTTTGTGGTATTTTCCCCTGGGCAGTACATTTTAGCATGATGCCAAACTTCCAGAGCTTCTTGCTGTATTTTATTTCTACCCTCTAGTTATTAGTCTTATTTGTAAGGCTTGTTGAAAATCAATCATGTCTTTTCTTTTTAAAGCATATACTATAACTCTCTTTCACAATAATTAAAGTCATACTCTTCAAAACCTTAAGTGAAAGAGGAAAAGTATAAAGTAATACCATTTGCTCAACACGAGAATTATTTTTAAGCAAGGTGTATTAAATGTATATTTGTTTCAACAAAAGTTAAATCCAGTAAGTATTCGCATTAGCCGGCTTTCTTGATGTTATCCAAAGGTACAATGAGTTTATGTGATCTAATCCGAACAGAGTTGCTATTTTCCCCAAGGTTCTTTTCTGCTTCCTTCTGTTTGTATCTCAGCTCTGACTGCCATTCTGCATTCCTATTCCTCTGTTCCCTTTCTCCTTTCATTACTGTAGCAGCAAAACTCAGGGCTGAGAGTAGGAATCTCAGAGCCAAATTCTAGTCCTTTTCTCTGTTACATACTAATCATGTGACTTTGGAAAAATCTCTTACTCTTTGTGTACTTTGTTTCTTCATCTGTAAAACGGATACAATAAGACAACATGCCTCATGGAAATGTTGTGTGCAGATATCCATTAATATATTTAATATATGTAAACTGGCAGACTCTTACAGACAGGAGGGGCCTTAGAGATTAAAATTACTTAGTTCAAAACATCACCCAATACAGATATGACTGCAGTAAAACATTTCGAATTAAAAATAATATACAATAGCAATAAATTTTAATTAGAAATACAGACAAATGATTTGTTTTGCCATAATTTAGGAAAACATCCCTCAAACATTCTGATTATGATAATTTCAATTTGTGATAACCTGTTTAAAGTGCTCTTAATGGAATTTTGCACAAAGGAGCAATGTTTTAAAATTTAGCTTAGGTGTTCATAATAGAGAAAAATTTATATTCTTAATTTATTTTCTTATTTTACAGCTTAGAGACAGATAGATGACAAATATTTATCCTAGAGAAATTTCCATTCAAATGACATCCTTATAGATGAGGACTATAAGGCTAGGAAAAGAAGATCAATGTTGACTTTTATAATCTCATATAATCTTCCTATATTTTACAAATACTTTAGGATACAGAAGGCTTTCAAACATTTTAAGGATACAGAGATGGGAGTAGGAGGAGTTGGCTTTTATAAGCTTTTATTATAAGGTGAAACAAACTCCTCAATCTGTAGGAACCTGAGTCTTTTTGAAAACTGGTTACCTTTGAGCAAGTGCCTTCTGAAACTTGAATGAGGAACTAGAAATTTGATGAGGGATGACTGAACGCTAGGCTTCTTGGAACATTGTGTGCTGCCTTAATTTATACTCATATCCACAGTCAAACCAGATGCTTCAGGAACTGTTTCGGTATATGGAAATATGGGGTAAGGACCATTTAACTTGAAAGACTATGAGCATAAAAAGAAAGTTCTTTCTGCCTGATATTTATCTGCCAATCTAATTAAATGAAAAATTTAGATTCAGTTAAGTACTGATAGTATCCAGATCTGGCCTTTCAGCAGAGTATGTCCATACAGATTGTTTTCACCATGCCAATTTTTATTTTTTTCATCTCTAAAATGACGGTGTGGTGGGACATATCAATGAGACAATGGATACAAAGTTTGAGCAAAGTCTGCAGCCCTGAATGACAACAAATGACACCTGCTGCTGTTATTGTTGCTGTTAGGGTTCACTTGTGTCACCTGGTTATGCTATCTCGTCTGCCCAAGATGCAATAAAGACAATTCACTAAAATTTATATGCTCTTTTGTGGTCCTTTTAAGAGGGAGATACAAGTTATTTTTGCTGTTCTTAAAGATTTCTCTGAAATTTCAAACTCTCTCTTCAGTTCTTTTCAGGTGCCCAGCAAAGCAAGAGTTATGAAATATATATGTCTTAGAATCTTTCTGAATAGCTAATATATTTAAATAGTTCAAAATTAACATGAAATATATACCTTCAAAAGTCTTGCTCTTACTCTTGCCCCTGTCTATCCTGTTTTTCCTTCCTGTTTTCCTTCTCACCTGAGGTAATCACGTTTACTAGTTATTTCCTTTGTGCTAAACAGAAGTTAGCATTGTTATAAAAATTGTTATGGATCTAGTTTTTTTCCCATTTAACTTAGCAATTTATCCTAGAGGTATTTCCATAGTAGCACATGGAAAATCCCCTTTTATTTTAAAGCTACAATGTATTCTATTATATAGATGTACCTCAGGGTTTTTAAGTACTTCCCTCTTGATGAACATTTTAGTTGTACCCAAGTATGTATATAATTTTGTAATGCAAAAGTATGCTTGCATTTATTGTAGAATAATAGAATTTTAGATGAGTAAGATAACTTAGAGGTAATCTAATCTAATTCATATTAAAGCCCATATTTCAGACAGTCAATAACATTAAAAAAAGAACAAATAGAAAAAATATAAAAGATTCATTTGTAAGTATAGTTTTATTTAGAAGTACAAATTATACTTATTTTAAGTTACAATAGTACCTGTTGTGAGATATGTAATAAAAATAACATGTAGCAATTTCCAGTGGTAGAAGCAATTGCACTTTTCTATTATTTAGTTAAAAATTTTTATAGCATTGATGAGGGCAGAAAAAGGAAGACAGTTTGGAGAAAAAATTGAGAATATTGGTAATTGTAGCATATTTTAAATTACTTCAAGATTTCCATTATTGTAAGGATAAAGCAGTCATCTTACCTTTAATACCCTATTTGTTCTAAATACTGGATTAAACCCAAAGAAGAAGTAGAGAACATCAAATGGGATTACTGATGCAACATCCAACTGTTGGAAGAGAACATTCACAATTATTTCATGTTTGCATGCTTTATTGGGCATAAATGGATTTATAGACACATATGCGAAAATTGGCCAGTCACAATAAATTATTTGTTGTTTAATGCAAAATTGCTTCCAGTCAAATATGCATGTTAGCACCATGTGAACACAGACAATATTTTGTCGTCTACTTTCAATGCATTTCATTCCACCTTCCTGAATATGATCTCTCCTTAGGTGCTGCATTTGCTGTGGTTGTTGTTGAGTTGTTATATATACTTCAGTGGTGGCATGGATGCTAATGTTAAAATACATTTTTAATAGTCTTTTAAAAATGAAAAATCAAGTCCATTCTTGATTTTGTTTGAGGCCATTGAACATCATTGTAGTAATATATTTTTGTTTTGGTCAATTCTTCAATGTTCACAGTGAGTTGTATTGCTGAGGTTCATCTAGGTCCTTCAATGCTTTTTACTGCTGTGTACTTTGGAACATTTGCTACCAATTAAATTTTGCAAAAGTATCTATCAGAGATTTTACAAGGTAAGAGAGAAGAGAAGAAAGAAATCAGTTCTGTTTACAGTTAGTTAATCACCAAGTCTGCTGAGAGAAGATATTGGCAGTGCTATACTCTTATAGTTAAAATGTATACTTTTAATACTTGTTATGTGTTTACATTATTCTGTCTCTCTCTTAACTTGGTATTTATGAAATAACAACAACACATTTGCACACTTTTCTGAGTGTAAGAACAATACAACTTTTTTATGTGAAATAATTATTTTCTTCATCAAATTGTGCATGCATGGTCTTAAAATACAGGGTCCATTTAAAATAATTTAAGATGTCTTAAGACAATTAGGAGCAGTTAAGAGCAAGTTATAAGTCCACTCATGTGAAATAGAGTTGAGGTAATTAATCGTGTGTAAGAATTTTGAAGACTACCGCTATTGAACAGGAATGGAACTTGTAGATTGAATTAACCAGATGAGCTAGTATAAACGAATTACTTACTAAAGGGGTTGGGTCAGAAATTGCATTGTATCATAGACCTCACTGATTTTACCTTATGTATACTGATTCTTGAGAAGTGTATAGAAAATTACTAAAATAATGCCTTATGAAAAACGAAGCAGGGGGCATGGGGCTGTTGACTTTTCTAATGCTACCCCAGAATCTCTGGTTTCTTATTCAAATCATAAAAATCTTTTTAGTTGCTTTCTACCTAGCTGCAAAACTCCACACTCAACCTCTGTGCAGATTGTCACTGGTCATTTTTTAGCCACTGACATGAATTTATGTAGATGGAGAATGATTTATTTCTCATTGAATTATAGAAAATTGAATTAAGTAAGTACTGACAGACACTAAACTCTGTACAAGGCACTTTGTAAAGCATGTTGGGATTGAAATAGGAATAAGATATTATTTCTGTCTGTGAGAAGTTAACAATATAGTAATAGAATAACCAATACAACAATAATTTTATTAGCAAGCCATAAGACAGAAAAGATATGCTAAGGGAATTCAGAAACGAGGAGTGAACAAAGTTAAATAAATGTAAAAATTTTTATTTATAAATGCAATTTAAATATGTGAATTATTTTGGCCCTTATTGAAATGCAAACAAGTATTAAGATTTTGGAATAAGCTTTGAGGTTTTTACAAAGCAGTCATCTCTGAGAACTCATTGAAATAGTGTAGATCTTTTATGAATATGTTCAAGTATGTGCTGATTTTTTTTTACAAAGAAAATTAGTGGGAGATAAAAACAAATTGAATGGGATTTTAATCAGCATCAATACCTATTAGGAACAATTTGGGCCCTAACCCAGATTTGTGTTTTTTAACAAAATTTGAGGTAATTAAAATTGTCCTTGAAGTGGGATACTAGAGTTCACATATACAGACTGGGTAATTTTAGATAATCCCAAATCTTTGCCTATATCTCAGAATTAGGAGGAAAAATAAATGATAAGACTTTGTAAATAATTATAAGTGGTAAAACACATTATTTGAGAGAGGAAGATACCATGCTATCTAAATAATTGCTTCTTTTCCCACATTGTTGTTTTGCATATCTGAACAAAAAAGAAACATTACTTTTGCAGAATTTCACATCATCATGGTATATGAATTGAGGACTAGACCTTTGTAGACAAAACAAAGTATATCCCATTCTCTTTAATTGACCTTTAATTCAAATTCAAATGTGGGAATTTTTACTTAGTTTGATCTGCTTAATAAAAAACCACATGTTGAATTACCCATTTGCATATGTAAGGGAATGTATCATGAAATTATGGTGAATCAAAAACTTTAGTTCTGCCGTTGTCTAATAAAACCTCCTTTGTTACAAAGGAAGACAACTGTAGAAATGGGACTTAAAGTCAAAATGGTAATGGATTATTGAACAGTTTTGAAATTATTTGTAAGCCACCTACCTGATATTTTATAGAACTCTTGTAGTGTTTCTTTAGCTCATTTGGTTCCACCTGAAATATATTTATATTTCAGTTAATTTTAGCTAATTTTATTAATTGTTCTTTCACTTTTTTTTCTTTATATTTATAGCTATTTGTCTCTACTGTTTCCTTCTAACCTCAGTGTGTATACATACTCCATTCTCTCAAAGTTTAGAACAAAACACATTCCTTGGCTTTTATCTTCTGATTTTCTAGAGAGTGCCTGCATGTTCTATATCATTCCCTCATGTTTATCCTTAAACCATGGTAATGTGGTGGCTGCTTCTCACTTTTTTTCAACCCATCAAGACTTAAAAGTGTAAAGACCACCAGTAATGTCCCCATGACCACTCCCGGGAAACTCTTTGTAATTCTTAGCATCCTGTTATGGAACTGACCATATTTTGAAACAATACACATATTTTTGGGCTTATCTGTTTAAAATTGATTTACTTGATGAAGAGGTGCTCTATCTGAGGACAGGATTGATTTGTTTAGCAATTGTGTATAACCAAAGCCTGGAATAAACTAAGTGCCCAATAAACATTCAGTGGAAGAATATATAGGAATGAAGAAATGAATAAAAATATTTGAAGAATTCGATATTTTTGGGAAAAATTTTGTCCTTGGAACTTTCTCTTTCCAAGGATTCAGTACTGTTTTTGGTTTACTTTTATTCTTCACTTGCAACTTTTTGGTGTCCTTGGATTCTTGGACTAACCATTTATAGGTCAAAGTTCCCCAAGATTTGATTCTCATCTCTTTTTCTCTTCATACTTACTTCTTGGGAAATCTCATCCACTTTTATATTTTCAAAGACTGGCATTTATACGGAACCCATCAAATCTCTACCTCCACCTAATATCACTTTATTGAGCCATTTGCTCCAAACCTGAATTCCTCATCATTCTGCACTCCCCTTAAGCCCAGTTGTGATCCTCCTCTTCCTGCTATTATGTATCCCAGGAGCATCCTTATCTATACCAGTTAGTGACGCTAGACTACTCTTTCTCCCTTGTCCAATCAGCATCTGAGTTCAACAGATTCTTCCTAAAATGTTCTCGGGTTCCTTCTCTCCTTTTGGCCATGACTTTCTGCCTGAGTCTTTGCTCCTCTCTGTCCATTCTTTAATGTCAGAATATTTATAAATCAGAATATTTAATAACTCCTATGTATGTCAAATTCTCTGACTACATGATTTTAAGAGAAAGAGTGAGAGAAAAAAAATCCAAGCTCCCTTTCATGGCACCAGGATCTGATTTCTCTGGCTCATTTGCCTCCTGCAGCATCAAGGACACATTCTGTTAAGCAGTTATTCAAACACCCCAGAGTTTCTCACCTCGACATCTTTTCCCATGCTCTTCTCAGAGATTAGGACACATGTTCTTTATTTTTCAGGGGCAGAAGCGTGAAGATAACTTCAACTCATATATCAAGATTTGGACCAAGTGTCTCCTCTTTCACACAGTTTTCTCTGACCCTTATAGCAACCTTTATAGGTCGTCTTTGTCAGTTCTTACAACATGAGATTCCAACATTTTTCTTTTGTTTGTCTGTCCTTCATAACTGAGCTATGTAATAAAATAGGGTGCATATCTGTGGCCTCTGTTTCCTTAGTTCATAATAATGTCTGACATGTAGTAGGTGCTCAATAAATGTACAATACATGAAGGATGAATAGGGAAGCATTAATATTCATACCTGAAAGAATTAGCACTTCATATTAGATTTATATTTATGTTTCAGTAATATGTAGGAAAAAATTTCTTTGTACTATTAATAAGTTGAAGTATTGAAACTTTGATCTATGGGAGCAGCATTGTCTAATAATTATCATCGATGTTGTTAAAGTTCAGCTTTAAACCACTGCCAAGTAATGTCAAAGATTGATTAGTCAGCTCCTCAATTCTGGTCCCCTTTCCCCTTTTTTGACTATAGTTTTTTATTCATAGACAAAGCTAAATTTTATAGAAACATATTACAACACATACACGACATGCTGACTTAATGATTTGTACTGTGAAATAAAATGGCTTACTAAGCCACAGGTAGATATAGACAGGTTTACGTCGTCTGCCTTATAAATTATGTAACAAGCTTGAATAAAATCACTCAGCTCTTTTCAAAGTTTATATGGGACAGACAGACACAGTTCAAGGACTAAGCTGTTAAGTTAAACTACTATATCCCCCCTCCACCCAGGAAGGATGTTTTTAGCACATTTATCCCTTTACTTTCAGAGTTGAATAAATGTAAATGCAACTAAATCTTGCTAGATTAAATGAAAGTACCATCTAGTGATTTTAAAATCCCTCTTCTTTAGAGCACTAAATAAATTTGGCATCATTAGCCTTATGAGGATCAGCATGCTTACCGGTAACAATCAGGCACTTATTTTTAAAATGTCACCCTATTTAATTCTCTCTGTCTTTTAAGCCTCCTCATTATGCAGGCAACATTTCTTCAGGGGAGGCTTACTTTAGGAAGATATGCTAATTGCACCTAAATCCTTTTTTAACAGTTTTTGAAGCAGCTCTACTCTGATGTTAGTATATTTACTTACTATTTACTTCTTCCAATAAACAATTTTGTAATTTTATATGGAGTGAATAAAAGAAGTATTTCAACAAGAATACTATTTCAAACAACTGTAACCCAGATCAAATAATTATTTAAGGAAAGAAAATGCTTGAACCAACATTGCTGTTCACTCAGTCCTACAAGTGTAACTTGAGTGTATTTATTCTTCAGGTCTCTTCAGGGTAGAGAGGGAAATAAACTGAACATGTTCCTACTTTCAAGAAACTTACTATCAGGTACAAAAATCAAATGAGAAAGAAAAACAAAAAGAAAACCAGATATAAAACCAATGGAACAAAACTATAAACTACTTATGATAATACCAAATGTCAGAAATATGATATGAATATACCCTAAAACTGGCCACAAAGTAATATACTTCTAAAATGATTCTGAATGATTCCAGAACCCCAAAATAAAAAAACTCCTATCATTTTTTTACATCTATCTATACCCACTTACTATTGTCCTAGAACATAAAGCCTTTTCACATTGATGAAATATACAAATTTGCATTATAAATATATCTTTATATCTACAAATATCTTTATACTTTAATGTTTACATTTATAAATGCATGTTACCATATATTGTCAAATTATAAATATTTGCATTAAATAAAGAAAGAGAGCTACATATAAAAATAGGCATAGGCAGCAAAATTTACCTGTGTGACCATCTAATCATTTAATTAATTCAACAATTTATTATGCATCTTCTGCATGCCAGGTGTGCATGCTATCTTATTTAATCTTTATGATGGATTTATAAGGTAGGCACAATTCCCATTTTACTGGTGGAAAAGAAAGTTTTCAGTGAAAAATTAAATTTATTTTCTTCAAATGATGCGGTTAGTAAATTTGAGAACCCTGATCTGTTTGCTTCTACTCTATCATAATTAGGCTAATTTTCATTTAACAAAATCAAGTCACAGAAATATGAGTAAAGAATATGGAATACAGAGAAGGGAATGTTTAATCTGCTTCAGGTCAGTTTAAAACAGTAATTTCGAGGATTAAGTACTAAAAGCAGTTGACTGTAACAAAGGGCCTGAGTGACATTGAACATTTCCCTACATCCTTGTCATTGGTAGATTTATCTACCAGGGGTTGTGGATGTGAGTGTCTCATATGTAAAATAATCCCCACTATCATTTTCAACTTGAGCCCTTCCATATGTATGGGAAATTACATGCAAGAGTCATTTTTGTTGGTCTTGGGTTCAAAATTCTATCCTTTGTTTAGTACCACTTTCAGACGAAAGAACTGTAAATAAATATTGTGGAAAACTTTTAAACTTTCCTGATTCCATCTAAGGTAGCTGTTAGCATCTCAGTCTGCTCTGTTCCTTTTTTCCTCTCAAGGCCTTGGAGAATTAACATTTCTATCTTCTAACCCTAGTGCAACAAGTATTAAACAACAAAGTAGGTAGCTAAACCTACTTGGCAACTGTAAGTATTTAAAACGTTTGTTGAATAAATGAATGAATAATTTGGTGTTGTACACCAAAGGTAGCACAGTCGGAATAAATGTAGTGAGACCTTCAGGTGGGGGACACTGTGTGCATACTTTGTTCCAAAATGTAATCAAGTTTCAAAGGCTAAAACTACCTACTCTAAATTAAAGAAACCATTAAACTTCTTTTGAACAAACAAAGCAATTAGTTCCTGCTCTATATTTGTAGCTTGTGATAATGCATTTTAAATAGAGCTCGTTGAGTGTGTTTTTATTGGTTATTTTTCTTGGTTTTAACACTCCATTGTGTGCAAAAGGCCTCTTAGAAAATTGAAAATAAAAGTCTTCCCTTACTGATTTTGTCATTTTCCATTTGTCAAACATTGATTTTCTCCCCCTTTGTGCATCTAATGGAGGTTGAAATTAGTGCTGTTTTTTGGTGCTGTTTACTTCTTATTTGTACACCATCATCATCATTCATCAAGCTGCCATGAGCTCTGGGGATGGTGCTGGTGAGTTAACTAATGCTCCCAAGTCTGCACAAGGACTATTTTCAGTAGATTTTTTTGCAACAGCTTTGGCTCTTGCCTTTAGAATTTCTTTTGAGGGAAGATTTTGAATACAGGGGATGTTTTCCAGAAAATTTTTTTTAAAAGAAAAAAAATAAGCAAAGTGACTACTTTCAGCCTTTTGATAATATAAGATCTTCTGGAGACTCAAGAAAATATTCAGAAGACTAGGGAACATATCTATCTTTTCCAAAGATATAAACAAGCCTACATTACTATACACTTGGATGTCTGCTCTTCCTGCTATGATGTTGGAGGACACGTTCTGTGAAGCCCTTGATGTGATTTGTGAGAAAGAGGTCGCAGTGGACATCAGTCAAAAAGGAAGCATTCTGCTGGCTATGCAGGGAAAGGGCCAAGAGTTGGGTATATGCTTGTGAAAACATATTTTTCTGTTCTGTTTTGGATTAATGAGGTTGACTATGAAATTCTAACATGAGAATAAATCCAGGAGAAGGTGCTTTTTCCTAAGGATAACAATGCTAATTTCTGAGGCAGGCCACTTGATCATAAGAAATGGGAAGTAATGAATTTGGAAAAGAAGATATCCTAGTCAGTTAAAAATACAAGATAACTGTGCTGTGGTGTGCTTGTAATTTGCCCATGGCAGCCAGGTGTGTGGTTCCTCTTTGTGGCATAGCTTTCTGGGTGGGGATATTAAAGGCTCACTGCTCTCTCAGTCCCTTACAGCACTTTCCAATAGCATATTTTACAAATAGCATATTTTGCAAATCTTCTTTGTAGTCCCTTATGGTAGCTGTTAGCCACATGAGGTTGTTGAGCACAAGAAATATGAATAGGGTGGCTGAAAAAAATCTAGATTTTTTAATGTTATTTAATTATAATCAATTAAGATTACAATTGGAGTAGGCACTTGTGCCTGGTGGCCACTGTATTGGGGAATACAGTGAATTGACACTGATTAAAAAGCATCACAACATTTTTGCTTTTTAAGTTAAGTTTTCCCAACATGACCAGGTCTAAAACCTTGACTTGATTTTTGTATTATGTGCAGGCACTATGCTTGGTGCTGACTATTTAATGATACACAAGACACAATCAGTGTCCTAAAAAAATATAGTCTAGTATATTTTCTCAACATCATGCTGTTTCTTAGAAGGTAGAGTAGACTTTAATGAGTGAAGTAATGCCCACCTTATTTAAAAATTACTGATGTGAACAGCAGACTACAATATGATAAAAATTGCTTTGCATGCTGTTTAAAGCTTTGTTACTAGAGCAATGTATATTGTTTTTCTTTTTTACATGATAATTTATACATTTAAAAAATATTACCTAGGTAAAGTACGTATATAGTTGTATCATTTCAGACTTCGCATTAGGTTTGTATCCTCAAGTATTATCAAATTCTGGAAAACCTGCCAACTTAAATCAGCATTTGAATCCTGGCTCTGCTACTTTCTAGCTTTTGTGCATTGAACAAATCACCCACAATCTCCAAACCTCAGTTTATTCATCTCTAGATGGGACTGTTAATACCCCCTTTCGTGGTGTCCTTGAAAGGTGTGAAACATAATAATGAATAGTTAAAATAATAACGTAGCTAACATTTAATACTCTCCACTATGCACTAGGCACAGCATTAGGCATTTTGCATACATCAATTTATTTAACCTTTCTATCAGTGTTATGAAGGTACCATTTGTATTCCTGCTTTAAAGACGAGGAAATTAAGGCACAGCCACATGTATGCTCTTCAGTACAGAGTGCACACTCAACTGTTTTTTTATTTTTGATTCTATCATTATTCTTATTCTTACTGATGGTGTCCTGTGGTTAAGGACCCCTCCATGCAGACATAGTCAATTGAACATTAAATAAGATCACATTGCTAGTTTATTTTTTTGTAGATTGATTAGATATTCATTTGTTAGTTTCTTTTCTGAAACTCCACTTACTATTATGTCTCCTCCTTTTACAAACTGGATTCTGGGCTGGATAAACAGCATATCGGAAACGTAGATGATGTCACATATGATGTCCACAATAAGCCAGTAGAGTGTGTTGTCTGGTGTTTGATATGGAAAGAAGAGACGCAGGGGGATAAACCAGCAGTTCCAGTTATAAGCAATGGTGACAAGTAAGAGCCACAGAAGATAGAGTCGATCTAGAAAAACAATTGGAGTCATCCAAATGTCATGGAACAAAGATTGTAAAAGAATTCTCTTGCTTAGTTTGATCAAATGGAGACACTAGCTTTTGGAGATAAGCAATTTGCATTAGGCCTCTATTAAACATTCAATACAATTCTGCTGCTAAAGTGGGAAGCATTGTACGGTAGGAGGAAGGTAAACTGAACTTATTAACTCAGCAGTGGGCAATCTCTTTCCTGTCTCATGGCCACACTGACTCTATCCCAGTGGGTAACCACACTATATGGAGTCAGGAAAGTAGAAACCCAAGAAGTCAGAGAGACCCTGCTCAGGCCTCCCCTGCAGTTCAGCCACGGACCCCTGCAGCTCAGCCACGGAGGAACAGGTCTCTGATGCTCCTTGGTTGAGCTGCAGGCCTGCCCAGAGCAAGGCCAAATCCTGCCAGGGCTTGTTTCTCGGGGACAGCAGACTATGTGCCCATTAAGGCCGTCTGCATCCCCTTCACCTATGACCTTCCTTTGCCCAAGGGAGACCATAAGAGGAAATTGTTTAATTAGAATAATTAACAGTGTGAAGCCCTGGAAGAAGATGGATGCTTTATGAGTGTGTGTGTGTGTGTGTGTGTGTTTGTGTGTGTGTGTGTATACACATATTGCTGAGTGGTTTGGGGCCTTCTTTTCAAAGGTAATTATGTGTAAGACAGGCCGCCTTTTAAAAACAGGCAGGAATCTATTATTTCTTCTCTCCACTAGAGAGGGGCCAATAATCCTTTGCAGATTATGTTGCTAATACTTTATACTTTCTGGAAACATTCAGAACACGGTTGGGGAAAACAGATGCTCCCTGTGACTTTGGGTCACAGGGGTTCTTGGTGATAGCCAGCCCTCCCAGTGGGTTGCTTGTGGTACCTGTGTGTGAATCTATGCTTCCTGGAAGTCTAATTTTTTTCAGGTACTCTCTCAGAGGAGCCTTCTGGAATTTCCAACACAACATGCCTTGGTAATCTTCTTTTTTTAGCTTAGAATCACTTTCTTGTGTTGGTGCTACAGCTGTGGGCTTTGCTTTATAGGGGAAAAAAAAAGAAACGATATTTTAAATAGGTTAGTGAAACTTGGCTTAATCCACCAAAATCTAGATTTCATGAATCCAGAACATTTGAAACTCTTCTTCTCTCAATACAGGGAGATGAGGCAAAACTCTCAGGATTAAAAATAATGACATTTCATTGTGTGTATATCAAAACAGTATGTTTCACACTTTAAATGTATACATAAAAAATAAAGTAAAATAAAACGATAACAATTACCCAAGTAAGGGAAACATTGGAATTTGAGAAATGCATGGCAAGTTTAAAAATCACATAGGTATTACAAAACAAATGCACACCATCCTCCATATTTTAGTTTAGTGCTTAAGTATATATCTTTCACACATATCCTTCAAATCATGGGTAAACAAAGCTCAAAATGGTATTTTCAGTACATCTTTGTCAAACTATAAAGACTGATTTATTTAAGCCTAACCTCTTTAAAAATAAACATATAACACATAGGTCCTTTTGAAAACTCAATCTTCCTTATAGAACTATAAGGAAATCTTCAACTCTATCCTATGTAATTAACAATTCGATTCATATTTATCTGTTATTAAACAAACTTTCCAAAATCTCTTAGATACATGTGTGTATGCATACATTCTCAGACCCACACACATGTATGGATCACTCTCAAACTATTTGTACCTAAATCATTTGTTTCAGGATCTATTTGGGGGATCCAAATTGCATGATTTGCATTTTGCAAATCATATCTCCTCATGGCTTCCTTCTTCCTGGTACTTTAAGGGGACCATGCTTACCCTTTTGTGGGCTGGCTTCAGGTGAGGATAATTCTCCATCTATCAACTTTTTCTTGTATAGGGCTGTTCTTTGTCGCATCCTTTGCACCAGGTTGTGTAGCTGAGCATCAGCATATTCATTTATGACAGGGGCTCCAGGTGGTTTGCTCTTTGGACTTAAAGAGGAAGAAAAAAAATAGAGTTAGAGATGGGCCCAGGAGAAGATATCCACAGGGGAGAGATTAAGTATTTTCACTTTCCTTATATATTCAATATTATTAATTTCCCCCTTTTGCAATTGAATAGAATAATCCAAACATTAACATTTGATGGGAATAGTTTGGTGGAATATAGATTTGTCACAGAAAAATTAAAATACACAAACAGCATATGTTAATTTTTTAAAATATCAGATCTTAATGACTGTGATTCCATCATTGAATTCTACCACTAGGAGAATAAAAGTGTAGCTTTCACAGTTGTCAGAAATCTAAGATGGTCCCAAGATTTCCTGTGGATTGGTATCCACATCCTGCATCATCCTGGGTACAACAAATATGGGATTTGCTCCCCTGTTTAGTGTGTTTATATGGTATAGTTCTCTTCAAAATAATAAGTTTATACAGGTGGTCCTGATTTAATCACATGAGTCCTTTAGGAACAGTTTCTTCAGCTGGTGACAGAGCAGGAAGTCACAAGATAACTTGAAGCACAAGATGGTTGTTAATTGAGAGAAAGCCTGCATTGTTGACTTCTAGTGAAGACACCACTGGATAAGAATTAATAGGCTTAGAGAGATCTTGGCTAGTTTATAAGTAGAAAACAGGGACCTTACTTCTACAACCACAAGGAACTGCTTTTTGTCAATAACTTCAATGTGTTAGAAGGTAAATCTTCTCTAAAGCCTCCAAATGAGATATTTGCGGGGCCTGTCATGTTGATTTCAGCCTCATGAAACTTTAAGTAGAGATCCCAGCCAAGACCACCCATACTTCTGCTCTATGGAACTGTGTACTAATGAATAAGTGTTAAACCACTAAGTTTGAGGTAATTTGTATTAAATATATATGGTGTGTCTTTAATAAACTTCTTTTCCCAGAAAACACACAAACAGACTGATAATAGAGTATTGGATATAGACTAGTAAAGATCTAAATTTTCTTTCACATTTCTTCTAGAGATCTACTCCTTTTCTTTCACTGTCCAACATTTGGTCTACATTGGTCCATGTTGGCTGTATCCATTTTTTCAATATTTATTTTTTAGTTATTGGTGGACACAACATCTTTGTTTTTGTATGTGGTGCTGAGGATGGAACCTGGGCTGCACGCATGCCAGGCAAGCGCACTATAGCTTGAGCCACATCCCCAGCCCCGGTTGTATCCATTTTTATCCATTTTTGTCTCCTCACATTCATACATTTCCTTTCCTTCTCACTTCTAAAGTGGAATACATGGATTTTCACATTGGACCTGTGTAACTTGCAGATTTCATTTAAGAGAATACTACTTGTATTTTTTAATGAGCTCCTTTCCATTCTCTACCTGGTCCAAGAATGTGTCACATATATGACTGTTTACAGATTCTAAGACTATTGGTGTTTTTATCTCTTTATTTTTTTATTCTCCTAATTTATGCCTGTTTCAAGGGTCAAGTATCCTGTCTCAGTATCAAGAGTTTTCACTTAGATAAGACATTTATAAGTCTATATAAGAATGGTGAAGACTGAATTACAGTGGAAGAAAATTAGATGCATCTTAAAAAAAATACAGAAATGGATGGACTCTAGGTCTATAAAGCCAGAATAATCTTTTAAGATAAGAATCAGCATAGATTTCATCCTATTGATTCATTTTTCTAATAATTAAAAAACATATTTCTGATACATAAAAAACATAAAATTATACATATTTATGGAATATCATATGATGTTTTAATGAATGCTTTGATTTTTCTTAAAATATAGTATGCTACCAAGCAGTTATTAAGCTTCTTCTTTATGTATAGCAAGTATGGATGAGTTAGAGACTGGTCCTATGAATATTCATAGAAGAATCTAAATAAATACCGAACAATAAGTAATAAGGTGTTTTAGTCAACTTTTTTCACTACTGTGACAGAGCATCAGACAAGAACAATTTTAGAGGAGGAAAAATTTATATGGGGGCTCATGGTTTCAGAAGTCTCAGTCCATAGACAGCTGGATCCATTCCTTGGGGTATAACATAATGCAGAACATCATGGTGGAAAAGCGTGGTGGAGGAAAGTGGCCAAAGATATCACAATAAGAAGCAGAGAGAGAGAGTGGTCCATTTATCAAAGACAAAATATATATCCCAAAGGCATACCCCCAGGGACCCACATAGTACCAGCCTATAGTTACCACTCAGTTAATCCCTATCAGGGGATTAATTCTCAGATTGGGTTAAGGTTCTCATTACCCAATCAGTTCACCTCTAAACCTTCTTGCACTGTCTCACCCATGAACTTTTGGGGGAGACCTTATATTCAAATCAAAACATAAGGAAATGTGAACATAGTACTATGCTTAGATTGAACTTGGGCTGGGCGGTTAAGGACAGGAAATTTGTTAAATCTTAAGGGATTAACAGACCTTTGACAGAAGTGAAGTACTGGACTTCTAAGCCTGGAGAGCAGTACAAAGACATGAAAGAACATGATATATTCAGCAAATATTTTGGTGCATATATGTGGATGGGGCCAGGTTCAGAGTGTGGCAAGAATGATGGTGTTTGGGTCTGGAAGCGCATGATGAGTAGAGAGAAGTTTTGCTGGTTTTATATTTCAGAGTTTGGACTTGAAGCTGTAGAGAAGAGTTAGGGCGGACTATTATGCAAATGAGGAACAGAGGCAGATGGATTTGTATTTTGGAGAATTAGCAATAATAAGAGGATGGGTAGAAGAGGGGCATCATGAAAGCATGTAAATGAAGAACACAGTTATTCTAATAGGTGACATTAGAACTGACTAAAGGGGAAGAGAGGTTAAAGAAACACTTTACAAGAACTCACAAGATTCGGTGAATTTTATGGAGTTTGGGGTAACTCAAAAAAAGAATCGGGAATGACTTCCAAATTTTTATTACAAGAGACTAGGTTCATGATGATGACATGAATATAAATAGAAATCTGGAAGTCAGGTATTTTTGTGTAGCGGGTACACAAAAAAATGATTTCTTTTTGTTTATGTGTGTGTAGACTCAGTTCACAGTATTTGTAAGACCTTGTGTGATAGGTACTTTTTTGTGTGACTAAGGAGGCATTCACAAATACAGTTGTGCAGAGATGGATATCAGTCCACATGGGATATTCAAAACAATGTGGGGATGATGTCATCGTACACTGTGAGGTTCTCAAGGTCAGAATTAAATATTTTCTTTGTACTTCACAAGCCCTAGGACAAGGTAGATTTTTAAATAATTGCTTGTTAAATAAACCTGCTACTTCTAACCTTTTGCTTGACCTTATTTGATCTTCTGCAATGCTTTAAAAAAATCTATAAAAAGCAAAGTTAAGGGTTAGTGGATCATTAACTATAAAGTCCGGTATTCAAACTGTCAAATGTCTGATTCAAGCCCTAAAACCTGAAGAAAATATTTCTTCATTTCTTAAATTATCTATAAGCCCTAATTGACCCTATACTTGCCTCTTAATCATCCCAGTTTGTATTGTATAAATGTTCCTTACATTTAGAATGCTGAAAATAATATTAGAAACATGAAAGTATTTCAAATACATGTCTATATTTCAGCTACTACAAATTTTTATTTCTGTGTTAGCTGGAACATTAATATGCTATTGTAGTTCATCTTCTCTTCTTTTTTGTTGACCTCTTTGCTAGATAATCCTCACTGGTCTTTACCTCTAATTGCATACACATAGAAGCTATGTATGTATTTTTCTTCAGGTTATTTTGTGACTGAACAGATAAAGATAGAGATGAAGAAAGACATATTTTACGACATAAAGAACAAAGTGTGGGTAGAAGAGGAAACCAACTGATTTGCTTTAACTATTTTATTTGAACTGCATTTGATATTCCTAGTTCACATTGTACGGTTTTTAAAGAATCACTTCTCATAACTATATGATGAAAGAATTGGTAGGCAGGAAAAATATTTTACAAATTTAGATACACAAATTTTGGAAAAAAATGTTTTCATATTTGGAAGGAAGATCTTATTGAACTATCTCTTATTGAGAAGTATGTATGAGATTTCTAAAATTGATTTATGTGCCTGTGTGAAAGAAAGAAGAATGAATTAGTTATTGTTAAAATGAATTTTTGTGACTTTAAAAATGAGAGTACATAAAAATCTCATTAAAATTGATGAAAAAGTAGGATTATGCCAGTGTTCCTCATTTCTTACAATTCAACCAGTGGTATAGGCAGAAAAAACATTGTGTAACTGACAATTGTCTTTGTTGGGATTCACAGAAGCTTTTGCTGGAGTGAGAAACAGGCCTTCCTTTTTTGTAAAGTGGGAAAAAGTCATTGTGAAAGGAGAGATAGGAAAGAAAAGCTCATGGTTTCTAGATGTGCTCACTAATATCAGTTTTAAGAAAGAGTAAACCTTAAAGATATAAATGTTAAAATTCTTTTAAAATTGTCTTTGTTTATTAGGACGTTTGGAAAGTTTTCATATATATTCAGAAAAGACATGTTCTCTAGTTTAAGATGGCTGTTTTAGCATAATATGAAAGGATGACTAGTTTAAAAATTTCTTTCTTTGCATTTATTTTTTTATTTTGATTTAACACATAATAATGAATTTATGGGATACACTGTGCTGTGAATTAGATACATGTATGCCATGTGTAATGATCAAATCAGGATAATTACCATTTTTATCTCTTTCAGTATTTGCCATTCCTTTGTGTCAGGAAGTTTTGAACTTCTCTGTTCTCTCTTCTAGTTTTTTTAAAAATATATTTCAAACTGCTGTGAAGTATAGTTGCTACTATGCTGTAGAACACTGGCACTTATCTCTAACAGTATTTTGGTACCCATCATTCAACCTTTCTCTATCCCTCTCTCACTTCCTCTTTCTATCCTCTAGTGATCACTAATCTACTTTTATTTCTCTGAGATCGCCTTTTTTTTTGGCTTCTGCATATAAATGAGAACATTGTCTTTCTGTGCCTGGCTTATTTCA